GATAGCTTTATCATTTCTCTGAACCATCCATTTCGTTCAAATCCATCGGTTGTTTTTTTATCTTTTATCTTTATCTTTTATCACAACAAATTTTGTTTATTCAAAACACGATGCCCATCTCTAATCCAGGATTCCTTTTTTTGGACAGATTGTTCAATAAAACCCAAACAGAAATTGATTTGACATCGGACACTGGTAAACTACATTTGTATGTTAAAGAAGATGACAACGAAGGTGGCGGAGAAGCTGTTACAGACTTCTTTAAACAATTCTCTGAAAGTTCCAAAGAAGAAGAGAAAAAACAATCAAATGAAGAGGTTCTAGAACCTGATGACTTAGCAGACAGTTCCAACGAAGCATTTGATAATGTTCCTGAAAGCAAAGATTCTGAGGAAGAAGATGCAAAAGAAAGATCACTAAACGAAGCATTTGATAAGAAATCTAAAAGTAAAGATTCTAATGAAGAAGATGCAAAAGAAAGATCACTAAACGAAGCATTGGCTGATAAATCGGATAGTAAAGATTCTAATGAAGAAGATGCAAAAGAAAGATCACTAAACGAAGCATTGGCTGATAAATCTGAAAGTAAAGATACTGATGAAGAAGATACAAAAGAAAGCTCACTAAACAAAGCATTTGATGATAAATCTGACAGTAAAGATAATAACGAAGATACTGCACAAGAAAGATCCCTAAATGAAGCATTTGATGATAAATCGGAAAGTAAAGATAATAACGAAGATACTGCACAAGAAAGATCCCTAAATGAAGCATTTGATGATAGATCGGAAAGTAAAGATACTGATGAAGAAGATACTGCACAAGAAAGATCCCTAAATGAAGCATTTGATGAAAAATCTGAAAGTAAAGATAATAACGAAGATACTGCACAAGAGAGATCCCTAAACAAAGCATTTGATGATAAATCGGAAAGTAAAGATAATAACGAAGATACTGCACAAGAAAGATCCCTAAATAAAGCATTTGATGATAAATCGGAAAGTAAAGATACTGATGAAGAAGATACTGCACAAGAAAGATCCCTAAATGAAGCATTTGATGAAAAATCTGAAAGTAAAGATAATAACGAAGATACTGCACAAGAAAGATCCCTAAATGAAGCATTTGATGATAAATCGGAAAGTAAAGATACTGATGAAGATACTGCACAAGAAAGATCACTAAACGGAGAAAATTTTGAATTTGAAATTGTAAAACCAGAGGAAAAAGGTAAATACTTGGAAATATAACATTTTAATTCAATAATCATTAATTTTTCACCTTATTTTTCTTCAATTTTTACGTTATTTTTAATAATTTATCATCCTATTTTCTTAAACTTTTTACCTTATTTTCCATAATTTATCATCTTATTTTATTTAATTTTTCACCTTACTTTTATTCAATTTTTACCTTTTTTTCAATAATTTATAATCTTATTTTCTTAAATTTTTCACCTTACTTTTATTCAATTTTTACCTTTTTTTCAATAATTTATAATCTTATTTTCTTAAATTTTTTACCTTATTTTCATTAATTTGT